ATGATCAAGTGTAAATCATAGCCCTTGCCCATGAATATCTTTTCCTAACAGTACTGGAACTACAAACTTAGTTCAAGAAAATTGGTATACTTATACCTTTAGCAGGAGCTCAATTAGAGCATACCTATTCTCTGTATTTGATTTTTTCACAGAGGACTCAAAAAGTAACCAAATAATTTCTTCTGTGGAGGATAGCCTCATACAGGGGTACCCATCACAAATTTGAATCAAGTTTGGAACCCAAAAGACTTACATGTTGTACAAATAGTGGTTTTACATGACATATCAACTCATTCATCAGTATTGTTTGACAATTGTCTTTGTCTTTTGAGCTTGGTAGATACTATAATGGAATCTTTATCCTGGTTATATGTTTTGTTCACAAGTGAAAGATCTGAATTGAGGCCACAGTTGACCATGGTCAATCAAATGAGCATTTTTTAGAATTGGATCACAGGCTATGTAAGAGAAATTGAAGATAACATTAATATCCCCAAATAGAGCCAAAAATCTACTTCAGCCTGCCACCAGTGGTTGGATTAACCACACCTCTCAAATGAAGGGTACCACAGGACTCCTGAAATACTCCTGAATGAAACAGGATGCTCTCCATGGGAGTGAAAAATGTTTTCTGATTGATTTGCCAGCCATGAGCTGCTTTAATCCCTCTGCAATTTCAGTGATAGTCCTGCATAATTTACATTGTGATTTAATTGTTACTTGGAGAAAGCAATTTTATATGCTAATTAATATTCACAGTAGATTTTTGATTCTTTTGTTTTAGTCACATATATCCAGTCTTTGTTCCCCCTCCCTCCAGACATATTACTTGATATGATGCCCCATAAACCAGGTGCAATCCAAATCCAGGTGTTAGATTTTTCATCATTGTCCAAAAAGCACAACATACTTGATTCAAAAGCTTGATGTTGATGAATGAATGGTTTGATGACCCTGGAGTGGCTCATCAGTTTCTTCACAACTTGGGCAACTCTGAGTTTCACAGGGTTTACTTATTGAACTAGATCTTCAGTTGAATTCAAGCATTGTGCATTCTGAAGGGAGCTACTCCACAAAATCTTGGAAAACTGGTTTCAAAATTGGTCAAAATGGTTTTTTTTTGTTCTGATGCACAATATTGGTTGGTTAACTTGAACCGTGGGGTCTCATTTCTGAAAGAGAACTGCTTGCCAAATCTTAGTGCTTTCCTAGTAGTAGAAATTAGCAATGGCCAAAATTCAATGAAGTTCAATTGCTGATGGCAGAATGTGAAATACCCTTTCAAATTATCATTGATTTTTACCAAAACATTCTCCCCCTTCTGAACACCCACCAAAGGCCAACTGTTTCCTTTTGACAATCAGTCTATCAGAAATGAAATGCTATTCATAAACCAGCTTTAATTGCCAATTAATTCTTCATCTTGTCTCTTTATAAGTTGAAATGAATTGTAACCTTTCTTTAAACCACAGCCCTGTTATTCACCAGTTGCTCTTGAATACATAACTTGTGAAATTGATTGCACAGCCCATGGTCAGTCTGTGATCAGGCTGTGCCCTGCACATGTAAAAATATAGGTGTCACACTGCACATAAAAAAACATATTACCAAAATTGCCAAGCGGATAGCTGGATATGTAAGCTTTTGATTATGATCCCATCCTGGCGCAACTGCAAGTTATATGTGTATGTGATATGAATTTACTTATTTTATTTGCATGCCAATGCTCTCGACAGATCGATTTCAATCGATTTCAATCAGATCGATATTTACATAGAATATACGTCATTTCTCGTCAATCTTGTCGTCATTTCAATTTGTCAGTCGCTCGGAAGAATAAGATTATGTATTTAGACGATCTTGGACAGTCTGTTTATGTGTTTAGAGCCATGCCATGCCAAGCCAGCACGATGACGACAGTCTTGAATCCGGAAATGGTCGACCGATGCCAAGAAAAACGGTTGAATGATGGGATTGATGAATCGAACTGTGATTTCCTCGCAGCCCCTCTGCCCAGCCAGCTTGAGGTCATCAGTTATGGATGGAGTCGATGGGTTTTTCCATCCTTTAGACTGCTCTTCGCAGTTGGGGATGCGGCCATGGGATTCCTCTGGATGGAAAAAGATACATTTGAGTTGTTTTTCAGGTTGATTGACCATATTCGGTTTGCCAGGTCAAACACACAGCCAGTGCCAACTGTCTCTTTCTTCTTTTTTTTTTTGTTCTTCTTCCTATGTATAGCGAGATCGCTCATCTCATTTCGCTCGGCCGTGGCAAGGCTGTATGTAACGCAACTTGATTGCCGCATCCAGCCAAGAATATGCCGTGCCGAATCGTAATTTGGAATAGCTGGTTGTGCCCTTGCTCGAATTTTCTCGG